CACGCTCCCTCCCCCTCGGCCTCCTCCCTCCTCCTCCTCCCCTCCTCCCTCCTCCCCCTCCTCCTCCTCCTCCTCCTCCTCTCCTCCTCCTCCTCCTCCTCCTCCTCCTCCTCCCTCCTCCTCCCCTCCTTCCTCCCCTCGCTTCCCCTCGCTCCCCCACGCCCCCTCCCCCTCGCCCCCCCCCCTGCGTGCCAGCTTGCGGGCGAAGAAGACGCGAGACTCCACGAGCTCTTCCACTGCTGCGCCGGACGCCACGACGGCCACGCCGAAAATGTTGCACAGCCCGGTCATGCGGCTCGTCAGGTTGACGGCGTCGCCGAGGCAGCCGAACTTCATGAACTTGTCGCTGCCGATGTTGCCCGCCAGGACTTCCCCCGAGTGGAGGCCAATCTGCACCTCCAGGGGCGTGCCGCGCGGTCCGTTCACCAGCTCGTTGAGCTCTCGGATCGCCATCTTGATCGACAGGGCTGCAGCGCAGGCACACGCCTTGTGGTTGCTCTCGTCGTCGGGCGTGTTCCAATAGACCAGGATGCCGTTGGACAAAATCTCGGAGACCGTGCCTCGGAATTTTGCCGCGACGTGTGTCATGGTCGCGTAGCACTTGGTGGCGAATTCTGGCGAGGATTCGACTATCGGGGCAAAGTCCTTGATGGTGCAGAACATGATGGAGACCTCTTTCTTGTCGACGTGCAGGCCTGTGGCACGGGGCTTATCGTCCACAATCCTCTGCACCACAGACTCAGGCACGAAACGCGCGAAGTCCTCGACGGCTTTCAGAGAGCGGCAGAACGACTCCTCCAATCGGCTGATGTCCTCGATCCGCGAGCGCCTGCCAGACCGCAACGGCTTGAAAGCGTCGGTCTGCCTCATGCACTTCAGGTTGCCCAGCAGCTGCATCAGGGCGCCGAGAGTCCGCAGAGGCTCAGAGATGGAGTAGCCGAGCCAGAGGCCGACCGTGATGCTGACGGCGGCGACGGCTGTGAAGGCGCACGCCATGGCGACCCTGGCCTGGTTTACCGCGCTCTTCGACTTCTCGTTCAGCGCCATGATCTCGCTCAAGGCCTCCTCGCTCTGCCCCACAACAGGCGCGTTGAAGAGCGAGGCAGGGAGTGCGACCACCGCCAGCCAACTGGTGGAGCCGTCCATTACTATCGACTGAGTGCCGATCTGGAAACAGTCCTCAGACTGCTCGAAGGCGTCGCACTCGATGAAGCGGCCCTCGGTGGCCGCTGTCAGATTGACCTTGAAGATCTGCAGTGCAGTCTGCAAGGCCGAGGCATTCCAGGATCCGTACCTGTGCAGTATCGCTCGGGACACGCTGGAAATGTTCCCCTTCTCCGAGTTCTCGGCCATGACCCCGAGCTCTGTCTGCCTCGAGGCGCCGAGAAGCAGCCCCTCCTGCTCTGGGAAGCGCGTGCTGACGTGGCCTACGAGGAATATGCTCCCCCGGCCGTCCTGCGCGACCTGGACCAGCAGGTCCTGGCCGACCCCGCCGCCTCCCTGCGTGAGCGCCTCGAAGCACACGCTGCGCACCGCGACCTCCGCGGCGACCACGCCGCTCATGCAGCCGTAGTCGCCGCAATACGCCAGCGGGACCGTCCACGAGACCATCATGTGCGCCCCGCCGGCGTACGCCTCCGACCACCCCCCCTCCGCAGGCCCCCACGGGGGCGCCGACGCGCTGCCGGCCGCGGCGAGCCACTGCTGGACGGCCACCTGCTGAGGGAGCCCCACGCCCTGCGGCGAGGTGCCGTCGGTGCCGCTCGCGCGGGCCAGATCGCCCGGGCGAGCGAGGATGCTGTCGCTGGCGTCCTCCGCGTCGTAGTAGACGAGGTCGTCCCTCGCGCGGCACCCGGAGGACCGGTTGGCGCGCGCGGCGACGCCCGCGAACTGCCCCCCCGTGAAGCTGACGAAGATTCCGCCGAGCAGGGACGCAGGCGCGCCCTGCTTCAGCCGGGGGCCACGCGACGAGAGCACGTGCCGCCTCGCCACCTGCGCCAGGCCGGCGCTGGCGTCCCCGATCGCCTCGCCCTCCGCGCAGACAGGGATCTCCATCATGGCGCGGTAGCGCACCTCGCTGCGCTGTGCCGCGCTCGCGCCGTCCCAGGAGCTGTTCAGCGCGTGAGCAATGCGCATGTACCCCCAGACAGCATCAACGGCGTGCTCGGCCGGCAACTGTATGGAGTGTGTCACGCCCGTGCTGACGGACTGCAGGAGCCTATGGAAAGCGGCCATGGTGACAGTGTCATAGATGATCACTTCGATCGCCGACTCCTGCTCGCTGTAAGCGCTCTTGCACATCTCAATGGCGTGGCCTCGTATCCACGAGGTCGTCGACTCCATTTTGCAGCACATGCAGCTGCAGACAACGAGCACCATCAGGATGGGCAAGCACGTCATCGCCTTCCGGAACGAGACCTGCGAGCGCGGTCCACAGCCTCCTCCTCCTCCTCCTCCTCCTCCTCCTCCTCCTATGGTTTCGGGCCATAGCTCGGGCCTCTGGCACCAGCTCGGGGCCACTCGGGCACCCTCGAAACGCCCTGGGCGAGGCTCAGCTGCTGAAGCCCGTCCCCCGGTTAAAAGCCTTCCTCCTCCTCCTCCTGGTCCTCCTCCTCCTCCTCCTCCTCCTCCTCCTCCCTGTCCTCGTCCTCCTCCTCCTCCTCCTCTTCTTCTTCTTCTTCTTCTTCTTCTTCTTCTTCTTCTTTCTCTCTCCTACTTCCTCTCCTCCTCCTCCTCCCTCCCTCCCTCCCTACTTCCCGCCCTCCCTCCCTCCTCCCTCCTCCCTCCTCCCTCCTACCTCCTACCTTTTCCCTCCTCTCTCCTCTCTCTTCTCCCCTCTCTCCTCTTCCCTCTCTCTTCCTGCTGCTGGTCCTCCTCGTCATCCTCCTATTCCTCTTTTCCTCTTTGTCCCTTTTCCTCTTTTTCTCTTTCCTCTTTTCCTCTTGTCCTCTTGTCCTCTTTTCATCCTTTCACCTTGTTCTCTTTTACTCTTTCCCTCTTTTCCTCCTCCTCCTCGTCCTCCTCCTCCTTCACACATGCAAAATCTGAATGCTACTCTCCTCTCTCCCCTAGTGACGTCTGGGAAATTTTCGGCCCCCGTCCGCGCACTGGTTTTTCAGACACAAAAATTACCGGGAAATGTTTTTTTTGTGTGTTTGTTTTTCTTCTTCTTCCAGATGCTGCTCTCGCTGAAGCGCTGGCCCCATTTACGGGCTACCGCTCGTTCCGAATCGTGCTGCCGCTGCAGCGCAGGCCCCATTTCCGCGCTTCCGCTCGTTCCGAATCGTGCTCCCGCTGCAGCGCTGGCGTCATGATTTACAGCGCCATGCCACGGCATTGTTTTCGGTCCTTCCAAATAGGACCCAAAACCTAGAAGATGGCCCCCCGAAACAACCATCGGAAGTGATTCCAGATTCGGTGCCGATTCGCTGATTTTTTGGGTCGCAGAGGCCCCACTTTGGGGCGTCGCCACGCCATGCTATGTCAAGCTACGCGTCCTCCGAATCGTGCTCCCGCTGCAACGCTGGCCTCGTTTCCGCGCTTCCGCTCGTTCCGAATCGTGCTCCCGCTGCGGCGCTGGCGTCATTATTTCCAGCGCCATGCCACGGCATGGTTTTCGGTCCTTCCAAATATGCACCAAAATCTGGAAGATGCAACCCGAAACAACCATCGGATGTGATTACACATTCGGTGTCGATTCGTTGATACTTTATGTCGCAGAAGCCCCACTTTGGGGCGTCGCCACGCCATGCTATGTCAGGCTACGCGTTGATCTTCAAACCATGCTATGCCATGTAATGCTATGCCCTGCTGCGACATCCGACTGTGCGAATCGAGAGGAGTTCTTCGCCATGGTTAGGGATGGGAGGGAGGGGTAGGACGTCAGATATGACGCGAGCGCACCTAGCTTGTCCCCCCCCCCCCTCCCCCCCTCTGCCGCCCTCCTCCTCCTCCTCTTCTTCTTCTTGTGCTTCCTCCTCCTCCTCCTCCTCCTCCTCCTCCTCCTTCTCGGTCGTCATAAATAACTCCCCCGCGTCGCGCCTCGAGGCCGGTCGAAAAGGCGGGCCGGGCGTTTCGCCTGAGACTTTTTCATCGTTTCTGACCCCGTAATTTCAAAAATAATCATTAGCGACGATTTCGCGAATGGGGGGCGGGTCGTTTTCAAAATGCGGCTTTCGCTTCAGCGCCGTGCGCATTCGTCTTAACGAAATGCATGAACTTCGCGCATGGGGGGCGGGCCGTTTTCAGCATGTAGCTCTCGTTTGACGCCGGGTCGTTTTCGAAATGTGGCTCTCGCCATCGTGCCGCGCGCATTCGTCTGTGAAGGGTGTAAGGGTTTCACGGATGGAGGGCGGGTCGTTTTCAACATGTGGGCTCGCCTAAGCGCCGCGTGCATTCGTCTTGAAAAATTGCATGAGGTGTGCGGATGGAAGGCGGGTGGTTTTCAAAATGCAGCTTTCGCCTAAGTGCCGCGCATTCGTCTTAAACAATTGCAAGAGCTTCGCGGATTAAGGGCGGCTCGTTTTCGAACTGTGGCTCTCGCCTTCGCGCCGCGCACATTCAAACAGTTCCACGAGTCTCATGGCTCCCATGGTCAACGTATCAGGACGGTTCTGGATTGTCTGGGCGCAACAGCTATGCTGATTCGCGGTGTTGAAGTCCCAGGAACGGCGTTCTGGCACGAGTCTGGATCGCCAAGACGCAACACTCGCGTTGATTCGTGGTTCTGGAGTTCCGAGAACGAGGTTTTGGAACGCTTCAGGGTCTTCAAACGGTTGTGCCCCAACGGTGTACGATGGAAACAAGTCCTTGTATGGGGCCTATGAAAGGGGGAGCTTGCAGGGAGGGCTTAACCCACTATCATTAACGAACATTGGGTTTACACTGGTCTCTCCGTCCTCTCTCCTCTCTCATCTCTCCTGTCTCCTCCTCCTCTTCCTCCTCCTCCTTCTCCGCTTCTTCCTTATCCTCCTCCTCTTCTCTCCCCCCCTCTTCCTCCTCCTTCTCCTTCACCTCCTCCTCATCGTCGTCCTCGTTTTCGCCCTCCTCGCCCTCCTCGTCCTCAGTGTCGTTGTCCTTGCCCTTGTCCTTGTCCTCCTCGTCCTCCTCCTCCCCCTCCTCCCCCTCTGTCCTCCTCGTCCTCCTCCTTTTCCCCGCCCCTCGCGTGTGGGCCGCGCAGCCAGGTCCTTCGGGCGCTAGCACGCAGGCGCCTCACCCCAAAATCCGACCGCGCGGTTGGCGGAGACTCTCCGAAAGCGGGGGGGGGGAGCGGCGACGGCGCCGCAGGTGCATGCGACGACAAGCGAACAAACGGCTTGGCACCCGCTATATCAATTGCAAGGCGCGCGCAGCGGCTTCAAACTGCCGTCCACTAGGGTGGCGCCCCCCCTTGAACGAAGGATTGCAACGAAGGATTGCAAAAACGAAGGATTGCAAAAACAACCCGACGACGAACGACGGGTTTTTTGCAATCCTTCGAACGGTTTTTTTTTCCAATCCTTCGTTCAAAAAAAGAATGGTAACAAGGGGGCCATCGGGCGGGGGGCGCCCCATTGAGTTACGCAAGCGATCCAGGACGACGGGGCAACTGCAATGGTGAACAAATTGGTCACGGCAGCCGCTACACCCGAGGATATACTGAGAGAGGGTTTGGGCACTGTGGCCTGTCGCCCGCGCCCCGCAGAGGCTCTTGCACAGCTGCGCGCCGCGAGTGAGGAGGGAGGGTGGGTGTTACTTCGCGACATACTTGCCGATCACCGCGGTCAATGCCATCAGCTCTACCAGGGAACCATTTCCACGAACTCTGGGCAAAGGTCGCCTGGGTATTATCAATGTAGAAATCGTCGCGAACTGCCTGCTGCGAGATCCTCTGAGCGTGATTCGCCTTTCCGATGACCTGAGGATAGTCCTGCCGACATCTCTGGAGTGTCCTGAAAGATCCCCCCCGCCGCAGAAAACGTTGGGTCCGCCAGAAAACCGTTGCTCGCCTCCTCCAACATAAGGGCCAGGGGGCGGAATTGCCAGCGCTCGGGGGAGACCTGGTCGCGGACCCAGCACGGGATGGGAATGTGGGTCGTGGCAGATTCCCGCAGGTCCTCGAGCGCTGGCCTCCAGACTTCACAAGTCATGAGCGCCGCGCGCCGAAGGTTCGCCAAGTTCAGCGCCGCCATGCCAGTCAGGACGGGGCCGCCCCACGCAGACGCACGGAGCCAGTCAGCATATTTCAGACGAGAGCGTGGCATCCTGAAGATTTTCAGGCACTGGGTAAGCTCAGCGTTGCTCTGCGTTTCCGGGAGGAGCGGGTGCTGCGACGCGTGCCGCAGGACCGTGGTGCATCTCCGATTATCCGTCCGAGCAGTCACGTCCGTCGCCGCGCTGGCCGTCGCGACTGCCCCGCAGCGCTCAAAGTACTTTCTCTGCGGAGCGAACCACTCGTCACCGCGGACACCAGGGCCCAGCCACGTCCCGAAGTACCTAGCCTTCGAGCAGTCTATCCATTCCGGGATCGAATGGATAACCGCTGTTTATGCGTGCTGATGCGTGAGAACGTCGTTAAACCTCTGACCTGTGAGTGCCAATATGCATCTACCCGTCTTCATGGCTAAATGGGCAACCTCCTCGGCTTCCATGGATATCGCGCGGACTTGCCTGAGGTGGCGGAAGTCTCTTAAAAGCCGCGCCAATGTCATCGGCGCGCGCCCTCGCCTCTTAGCCGGGTCCGCGATCTCGTTTTACCGGGGGGGGCAGGCCGGGAGAGATAAAGCGCCCAAGATCCGGGGCGACCTTGGATGACCCCACTCCTAATCATGGAAAGCTCCGAACCCCCCTGGGGGGCCCGAGGCGCAGAACGTTGGATTAGAGAAGGGTCGCGAACAACTTCGCGGGGCGCCGTGGAATCAGCGCGGGCTGCGCCGCCATCGCGGGCTGCCGCTGCGACGTCGGCGGAGGCGCGCGCCGAAGCCGAAGCGCCCGAGGGTCGGCTGAAAGGGCGCGGGCGCGAGCGTCGTGCGCCCCGAAATTCCACCCCGGGGCGAAACCTGGCTGGCTCTCGTCGAGGCCCCGGGGGGCCCGCCGAGGAAGAGGGCTGAATGCGGCACCCGTCTCGCCACCTTTCGGCGCGAAGATGCCGAGGGCGCGATTGGATCGTCGCTGGGCGGCTCGCCGCTCAAGACGCGCATCGCGCGGGCGCGCGAGACACCCGCTCCGCGAGGTGCTTTCTGTCGGGCAGCGGAGGGCGGGTGGCGGGGCCCGAGGGCCGAATGCGGTTGCTGGCCCAGGTGGGCCTTCAGCGAACTCACAGTCGTCAGTCGTGGGCGGGGCGTCGGGGGCCCGCGCCTTCACGGGGCGCTGTCTGAGCGCGGCTGCCACCGCCCCCTGGTCGAAAGGCTCGGCCGCAAATGCTTGTCCCCAGTGCCCTGCCAAGGCTGCCCTCGTCTGCTCGGGCCGGCAAACGATCCGACCGTTTCCGTCGCGCACTCCGCGAAGGTGCGCGACCTTATCGAAGGGGCCCCGCGCGGCTTCAGCTCCGCTCGCGCTCAAGTCGATGACGCTGGTGTTCGCCGCGTGTTTGCCCGGCAGCCCCGGGGGGGATGGGGCCTGCGTCGCGCGGCCGCTTCCCGATGCAGGTGAGACGACAACGGGGCAATTTAGCAGGATCAGCCAGTCGCATCTCCCGTCGCACGTAATCAATCGAGATGTGCCCCCGAGCACATGCGCGGGAAATGAAGAGCTTCTAAGCCCAGCGCGTGATCGCCTCGAAGAGCAGCGCGGCCAATGCCGCGGACAATCTTGAATCTGGCCGCGAGTGGAGCTGCTTTTTGAAAATTCTCGCGTCGCGGGCGTTTCGGACAGCCTCCCCCGTCAGCATTTCCTAATAATGGCGGCGCAGCTCCGGGGCCGACGTCTCGCCGGGGGCTTCACTTTAATGGCGGCGCGAGAGAAATCCACGGGGATCGGGCGGCCTCCTGGTTTGAGTTCCCCACGGGCCCTCTTTGTCGCCGGCGCGTCGGCGTGATCTGGGGCTTCCTTTGCCCGCGGCCCCCCGGGCGCCCGCCCTCCGGTGGGGAACTGATTGACCGACCGCCCAGGAAGATTCGCGCGCGCTCGATCAATGAATGCAGCGACTTTGGATTTCCCGCCGGGCGCGCAGGGCAGGCGGAACAGGGGGGCACTTGGGGGTCGTCGCGCAGGGGGAGACGCGCAGCAGAGTGACCCAAAATGAAATCCCCCGTCACCCACGCCATCGCATTGGCAGGATTCTCTTCCGCGTGTTCGAGTTCGGCATGAATGGGCGATGTCGCAATGCTCGTTGAAGCACGATATCCAGAAAGAGCCGTTCGACGCTCAAAACTGAAAAAGCAGCGCTCGCCCAGGGGCGGTTTCATTCCTTTCCATCGGGGGGGGGCGGGGCGCGGGCCTGCCCGCGAGCTTATGAATGTTTTATGCGGGGGCAGAACGCGACGGCGCCACTGGCGCGGAGGGAGGTGGGAGAGACAGACGAGGCGAACGAGGTGGACGAGGCGAGGTGAGAGAAGAGAGTCCTGGATCTCACGATCGGTGCCGCGCGCCTCTTGCACGGTGATGGTGGCCCCTGGGCGTGAGACGTAGTAGCTTCTAGAGGTGGGCGAACCTGCCCGGCCGAGCTCCGCCGTCGCGACGCGGGGCGGGTGGGCGGGCGGGCGCGGGGGCGGGGGGGGCGCGGCATTCCGCGCTCCAGTGCGGTGCGGATTATCATCTAGAGCCCCGCCTGCCCGCGAAATGTTGGCCCCGCTAAACCCTTCGGTCTGCAGCGTGAGCCCCCGCGGGAAGAGCACGCCGGAATGGGGCCCCCTTCTGCGCGCGCTGGAAGCCGTCGGCTGCGGGGTTGACCCGTGCGAGCAGAATATCAGGAACTTCAGAATCGGGTGCTGGGTTGCGAGCGGCTTCCAACTGGTCGACACAAGGCCTCTATACCTGTCTGCTAACATCTCCGAAGGCACCCGCTTCGCGCGCTCGAGCGCGATCTCCCTCTGGATGGTCTTTGCGTTCTTGTCAGGCCCGACGTGAACCTCTGCGACCAAGCAACCCACTGCTCCACCAATGAACTTCCTCCACTGCCCATCTCGTTGCTGTGGGCGCAGCGTAGTGAACGGGTGTGCGAGACGATGAGAGGCGAAACCCACCTGCCCCTTGAAGCGCACCACGAAGCGCTTCGACATCGGGTCGCCTTCCAGCTCCCAGTCCCCGTCAGGTATATTCGCAGTCGCCAACCATACTCGCATAAGATTGATGACGTTCTGCTCGGGCATAAGCTTCTCCCTCGAGAAAGAGATGCCTGGACCCGAACGAAGGATGGGCACGGGAGTGATTCTGATCGATTTTGCAATGTCCAGCTTCTCCTCCATCTCCGTACGAAGTCGCCTGATCTCACTACCCAATGTCGCCAGCTGCCCACGATGATCAGCCACCTCCGCCTCCATCGGGACGATCCTCTGCTTGACCGCTTCGAACCCATGAGCGACTTGTACCCCAAGGCCACGGCACGTGTCGGACATTTGCTTCGAGTGCGCGTCAAACGAGGCGTTGATCGTGATCGCCGAGTCAGTGGCCGCCTTCTTGACCTCCTCGACTTGCGCAAACAACCCCAATGGATGTCATCGATGTACGCCTTGAGACCACCGCCGTCGGAAGTGTATCCGCCACTGGGCAGAGTGCCTCCTGGGCTGGGCCAAGTCTTCAACAGGTTTTTACCGTTGATGGGGCCCCAGATCCACCCACAAGGGGGTGAGTGTGGCAGGGGGAGCAACATATATAGACTTGGACATCAGGAAGTAAAACGGCCGATGCCCGAACTCGGACCAACTGTGGCATATCCCACGACGAAACAAATTGCCTCGGTACCGCGTTCCTTCAAACCGTTACGCTTGAGCCCAAATGGCTTGTGTTAAACTTGCTACGGGCCGCCTCCTCCTCTTCCTCCTCCTCCTGCTTTCCCTCCTTCTTCCCTCCTCCTCGCTTCCCCTCTCCTCCCTTCCCTTCCCCTCCCCTCCCCTCCCCTCCCTTCCCCTCCCCTCCCCTCTCCTCCCTTCCTCTCCCCTCCCCTCCCCTCCTTCTCGTCCTCGTCCTCCTCCTGTATTACGTTGAACCGACCTGAGCTGAAAGGTGTGGCGTTTGTCCTCCTCATCCTGTTCCTCCTCCTCCTCCTCCCCCTGTTTCTCCTTTTCTTCCCTTCTCTCCGCTGCTCCTTTTCCTCCTTATCCGCCTCCCCCTGTTCCCCCTGTTCCTGTTCCTGTTCCTGTTTCACATCCTCCTCCTCCTCCTCCTCCTCTTCCTCCTCCTTCTCCTCCTCCTCCCCCTGTTCCTCCTCCTCCTCCTCCTTTTCGTTTTTTCCCTCCTTCCCTCCCAACTCCATGCTTCCCTCCTCCCCGGCAGAGGCGGGCACCTGAAAGCGCGGCCCTCTGCCCGCCACCGCCGCGGCCCCCGCCGAGAGGCCCGCGACCGCCCGGTGGGGGGTGGCGCACCGGCTGGCGCCCCGCTGCGTGGACACAGGAGATGCGTCGCTCCTGTCTGGGCATGCCGCGCGCGCGCGAAGGAAGGGAGGGGTTATTGATATGCGACAGAATTCGACGAGGTCCTCATCGGGATGGGGGGAGGGAGAAGGATGAGGAGGAAGGAGAGGTGGAGGAGGAGAAGGAGGAAGAGGGAGGAGGAGGAGGAGGAGGAGGAGGAGGAGGAGGAGGAGGAGGAGGAGGAGGAGGAGGAGGAGGAGGAGGAGGAGGAGGAGGAGGAGAAGAAGGACTACTGTAAACCCAAGGCGCGCCAACGATGTTGCAATAAAGCCTCCCTCCAAGTTCCGTCTTCACAGGCCTCTAGAACACGTCGGTGATTTTTCATTGCGGGAAAATGCACATTGGAAAACAAACGTCTGAGGATTTCCGATCGTGCCAAAACATCGCTCCTGCGACTTCAGCGCTGCAGATCATAGCGATAGTTGCGTCCTGACACCCTAGATCGAGCCAGAACACCATTTCTGAGACTTCGGCACCGCGAGTCAACGCGACTCTTGCGCCCTGACAGCGTTTAACCGTGCTACAACACCATTCCTGGGATTTCGATCGCACGAATCCTTAAAACGGCTACGAACTTTCAAAACAGATATGCGCAGCGCTACGGCGAGAACGGCACCTTAAATAGATATCGCTATCCATATTTGAAGATGCTGCATAATTTTAAATCGAATGTGCGCGGCGCTCAGGCGATAACCACGTTTTGAAAACGACCCGCCCTCCATCCGTGAAGCGAGTGTGAACTGTTCGAATGAATGCACACGGCGCTGTCGCGAGAACCACATGTTCAAACAATGAGCTGTTCTTGGCCCTCGAGGAGCAATCTTGGGGGTCTCTTGGGACCTCTTGGGCCGTCTGAGGCCCTCTTCGGACTCTCTTGGGGCCTCCGTGGACATATTTTTTGGGGGGTGGGGTGGGCCGTCGTGGGGCCGTCCTGGGCCGTCCAAAGGTCCTCTTAGGTCGTCTTGGGTCCCTCCGGACAGTTTTTGAAATCAGCTTGACGCCCTCTTCGGTTTGTCCTGGGCTCTCAAAGGGCCCCCTTGAGCTGTCTTGAGACCGTCTTGGAAGCCTCTTGGGCTATCTTGAGGCCCTCGTTGGCCGTCGTGGGCCCGTCTTAAGGGCCTCTTGGACCATCTTGAGCCGACGACGGCTCGGAAAGGCAAGCACGCGCTCGACCACTCTTCAACAAACAATGGAAAATCAACTGTTCGGGCTTAGTCGGGCCTTGCGGGAGGCTCCCTTGGAGCTCTCTTGGGCCGTCTTGGAGGCCCCACGATCCATCCTGAGGCCATCTAGGGCCATCTTGAGGAGGAGGGCGACGCGGAGGTGGAGGTGGAGGTGGAAATAAGGAGAAAATGACACATATCTGCACGTTTGCCAGACCAGAATTTCGCCAGGTGACAAATTTGCCGGGTAACAGAACTGCCAAACTAACGTAATGTCAGGCTAGATACTTGCCAGAGGCCAAGTTTGCCAGAAGACAGCTTTGCTAGATAACAGATCCGCTAGATAATATATTTACAAGATAATGGGCGTGCGGGGTACACAACGCGAAAGGAAACGATTGGTCTTATTACGAGAGACTGAGCGCGGGTGAATCTGAGCGCGAATGAGTCTAAGTGTGAATGAGTCTGCGTGCCGCGGGGCGATCCGGAGCCGCCGCCGGACGAAGACGACGACGACGACATCCACCAAGCAACTCTTCCATCGCTCGTTTACAGCGACCACAGCGAAAACACCGGAAAGACCCTCGCTGGTGGAATGGAATCTCCCGCGAGTGCAAAGCAACATACCTACGGGGGGGGGGCGAGCCTCCTCCTCCTTCTCCCCAGGAGGTCTGGAGCTGTTCCCTGAAACCTTGACTGTGACGGACGCATTGTGCCGGTGGCAGTGGCGCCTTCGGTGGAGCCCCCTGTGGGGCCACGAAGCGTGCGAGGGGTGTGCCGAAATTCATGTGGGGACGCATGCGGGCGGTGGCACTGGGGCCTTCGGTGGAGCTCCATATGGGGCCACGAAACGTGTGAGCGTTTTAGCGAAATGGGTGTGGGGGACGCATGCGGGCAGTGGCACTGGGGCCTTCGGTGGAGCTCCCTATGGAGCCACGAAACGTGTGAGGGGTGTGCCGACATGGGTGCATGCGGGCGGTGGCACTGGGGCCTTCGGCGGAACTCCCTATGGGGCCACAAAACGTGTGAGGGGTGTGCCGAGATGTGTGTGGGGGACGCATGCGGGCGGTGGCACTGGGGCCTTCGGTGGAGCTCCATTTGGGGCCACGAAACGTGTGAGAGGTGTGCCGATTTGTGTGTGTGTGTGTGTGTGTGTGCGTGTGCGTGTGCGTGTGCGTGTGCGTGTGCGTGTGCGTGTGCGTGTGCGTGTGCGTGTGCGTGTGCGTGTGCGTGTGCGTGTGTGTGTGTGTGTGTGTGTGTGTGTGTGTGTGTGTGTGTGTGTGTGTGTGGGGGGGGCGCATGCGGGCGGTGGCACTGGGGCCTTCGGTGGAGCTCCATATTGGGCCACGAAAAGTGTGAGTGGTGTGCCGAACTGGGTGTGGGGGACGCATGCGGGCGGTGGCACTGGGGCCTTCGGTGGGACTCCTTATGAGGCCACGAAACGTGTGTGGGTGTGCCGAACTGGGTGTGGGGGACGCATGCGGGCGGTGGCACTGGGGCCTTCGGTGGGACTCCCTATGGGGCCACGAAGCGTGTGAGGGGTGTGGCGAAATGGGTGTGGGGGACGCATGCGGGCGGTGGCTCTGGGGCCTTCGGTGGAGCTCCCTATGGGGCCACGAAATTTGTGAGGGGTGTGCCGAGATGTGTGTGGGGGACGCATGCGGGCGGTGGCACTGGGGCCTTCGGTGGAGCTCCCTATGTGGCCACGAAACGTGTGAGGGATGTGCCGAAATTGGTGTGGGAGGCGCATGCAGGCGGTGGCACTGGGGCCTTTGGTGGAGCTCCCTATGGGGCCACGGAACGTGTGAGCGGTGTGCCGACATGGGTGATGATGCTGGTGATGATGACGGTCGTGATGATGACGATGATGCTGCTGATGATGACGATGATGATGATGATGATGATGATGATGGTGATGATGATGATAATGATGATGATGATGACGACGCTGATGGTGATGGTGACGATGATGGTGCTGATGATGATGACGATGATGATGATGACGGGAGGAGAGGGGAAGGGGGAGGAGGAGGACAGGAGGAGAGGAACGCGGGGCGACGTCTCTTCAAAACGAGGACCCAACACCACAGGATGGTTGGGAACAAATGAGGGCAGGAATCATTCACTATCCCACCTCCGATTACGGGGTTGTTGGAACTCTACAACAGCATTTGCTCACCGCCACGGGGAACCACATGATGGAAACCATGTCCCTGCTACCTCTTTTTCCTAGTCATCGTGCATGTGCTTCGCCAGACAGGTTGGACCTGTCTATGCATCGTCGCAATGCTTCTATGGCGCTAGGACGCATGCATTGTTCCGTCTAAGAGCCAGTTCCTGTGTATTCGCATGCTTCTTCTCGTGTTTGTACGAGCCCGCTTCGCGAATATCCACATGCCTTGCGGCAAATACTACCGCCGCGCCAGCGCCATTAGAACCATCAACGAAGACCCAATTTCGATGATGGTGATGATGATGACCAGGATGATGAGAACGATCATGTTAACAGTGATACTGCTGCTGATGACGGTTATCCTCATGATCGTGACGATGCACGGGGATGCTGATGACAATGGTCGCTGGCAAGAGGATGCATAAGAGAAACGCCGTCACATCCGTCACCTCTCGACCTCATTTCTGGGAGCTCACTCGGGCCGTCCCAGGGCTGTCCCAGGCTATCGCGGAGCGGTCTTGAGACTCAGGTAGGCCGTCTTGGGGGCCTCTTCGCCGTCTACTCGGTCTCTTCGGGCAGTCGCGGGGCCGGGTTCACACCGCAGTGGGCCCTCGACGGACCCCCTGAGATCGTCTATCCTCTTGAACTGCTTCGAACCGACGGATGCCCGAAAAGGCGAGAATGCCTCAACCCTCTTCGAAACTTCAACGCCTGCCCAATTTTCAATCCACCCACTGATTGGGGTTTCTCTGGTATCATCACAGTTCGAAGCGATCGATTGTTTCATCTTCCGGCACAGGGCACATAGATGATCTTGTGCCAGGCCAGCAACTGAGGGGTGGTCCACTCTGCCTGTGGGAATGTCGGCGGCTGTTCGCAACCTTCTCAGGAGGGAGCCCCAAATTAGGTTGAGCATCATAGTGGCTGATCGTTGAGCACTAGCAGTAGCTGCCACTGCCATGGAGGTGGAGGAGGGTGCGGAAGACCAACCACAGAGGGAGAGGACTTCCGAGAGAGCGGACGAGTTTGGAGAGCGGTGCAGCGAGTTGTGCCGGCCCCATAGCTCATGCTTGAGCAGGGCGGGGTCTGGAGAATAGAACTGGCTTTTACGGGAGAG